GACGTGCTCCACTCGCATTCCCGCCGCGCCGCGCTTTTCTTCGCGCGCTTTCCCGCCCCGCGGAAAATTGGCCAATTTCGGGGCGGTGATGAGTCGGAATGTCGGCGCGCCGACTCCCTCGCACTCGCGGCGCGCTCCGTCAGGGTGCGAGAGAGACGGGATCGGACTGCACTGGGTGGCGCCACCAATTATCATGCCCGCCTAACATTCCGACGGCATCTCGCTCTGTCTCTCCCCCACCCCTTTTCTCTCTCTTTCTAGAACCTCCTTAAACGCCAGACGCGTTCTTTCGAAAGAGTGTGTAAAACAATAGCGATAAAAAATTTTATTCGCGATGCTCCGTACAACATACCCTCTGTGCGCCCTGGTGCTACAGCACAGATTCCAAGGGCCTCCTTCCCTTCTGCAACAGTTTAGGGCAACGTTGGAGGGGCTTCAGTTTTACGGGTCCCACGGCACCACTGCTACGCCCCGCCACGCCCCGCCACGCCAAGGCCCCCGTCACACCAGCCCTTCACCCACGCCGGGCGGCCAGCCCCACTCGAGACCCACGTCGTCCAAATCCCAAAATCCTGCCCTGCACACACACACACACACACACACACACACACACCCTGGAGGTTAATTCCGTTTGCGTGGGAGGCAATCAAGGGCACACCCGCTGCGCGCTGGAAGGACCTCTGGGGTGGATCAGCGAAAACCACCGATACACCAGGGAGGAAAGTACGGGGCGAGGCGAGAGAAGCAGGGGCGCAGAAATATGGAAAACAAAAATATAACTGCCAATGCGGGAGGAAAATGTGAAAGACAAAAATAAGAATTGAATTGGAGGCGAAGTCTGGCAGGAAATGCGCTAAAATGGACGCCGGCCACGATAAAGGCGAGTGGGGCATTCTGGGCCGCGTCCAGGAGGCCAGGTCGGGGGCACAACACGCGCAGGGCCGCCCAGCGACGCCAAGAAACTGTCCGAAGGCTGCGGGTTGGTGGTCGGGGCCTTCGGGACGTCTTCATAATCACGAATTAGGCGCACTCCAGCCGAACCATGCGAGCCGAGGCTCGGGGGAAAGGGGGGGGGGGCACTCGGGCCTCTCGGCTCGGACAAGGGAGGAGGCGGGGCGGATTCGCCCAGTTTTCTGCCGTCCACCCCAACCGGGCTCCAGCCAGGCTCCAGCCATGCCCTGTCCGCCCGCTATCGGGGGAGCGACGGCTCAGAAAGTAGACACGCCCGGCCCGCCCCGCACTCCCCCTCGCTCTGATTTATTTGGCGTCAGCGAAAAGGCTCTGGATTATCGTCGGCGGTCCGCACTTCCTTCTCCGACGGAGAATGCACTTCTGCTGCTCTCACCGCGACCGGGACCTCACTACAGCATCACACCGTGGCCTCCCACCCCCAGTGAGTGTCGTTGTGAGTGTGTGTGTGTGTGTGTGTGCGTGCGATTTCGCCATCGTGATGACACGATCAAAAGGAGCACGCTGAATTTCCTCCGCTTTCGTGGGACTTTTCTACACCAGTGCGAGTAGCTCCGGTGCCCTCCGAAGGTACCTGCAGGAGGGGTACCTGCTGGAGGTACGACTTGATAGAAGCCCCCGTTGACGTGTTCATCGAGTGCGGCAGGTCGCTATCGCCGCGGGGGATCAAAGTAGATCGACCTCACTTTCTGACCCGCCGCCGCTGCCCCCACCCCCACAAAACAAGAACAATAAAAATAGAGAAGGAAAAATAAAAGATCAACCCCCCGGGCTCACTCGCTCGCTCTCTCTCTGTCTCTCTGCCTGACAGCCGCCCGACCTGGCCAGCCCCTGCAAGGCAATGAAGTGTCTCAAAGGAATGTCGCACGTATTTACAACAAATGACGGTGTCAAGGATATGATAAGGATACCGGGACTCTATTAGCAGGCGGAGCCTTTTCCAATTCAATCACAGCCAACGTTTGGTGGTGTTTCCAAAAATAATAAATGTCTTAGAAGAGTAGAGACACTCTCCTTTCCAGTCAACAATTTTTGAACATGGCCTCACACAGTTGCACGCATGTGTGCCTCATTTGTACGAAACTTCGTAGGAATTTGTGCAGTTCGGCGTAAAAGTCTGTACGAAACATTGTACAATGGACACATTGAGTGAGACCGTGAACAAAATTTTTTTTCTGTGCATTTTTGGCTTTAGTGATCCAAAGTGCAGACCATTGAGGACGACGGTTTCGGGCTGAGTGGTCGACATAAGCCGCTTGCAGGTGGTCCCCGCGCCGGCCGGCCGACGAAACGCTACCAATTCACCTTCACTTCATCTGCCTGTCGGGCGCGCCGCCCGCCACCGGCCGCCACCGGGCCGCCTGGGCCGCCGACGGGCCGCTCGCTGATGAATGCGTTATTACCGACCGGGCCATTTGTGGGGCCGTCCAGGCCGTCCAGGACGTCCGCGACGACAAGGGCCATTTGTAGAAGGCCGCGTCGCCACCGAGCCTAAGCCGACGCCGGCGACGCGACGCGAAGAAGGCGCGGCGACGACGCGAAAACGGCGGCCCGCCGCGCGGGATTCGAACCCTGGACATGCGCACACCTACAGCGCGCTCCACAAGTGCTGGCTCGACCCAGCTCGTACATCACCGAGGCTCGGAGCTCCGCGCCGCAACCCCGCCCCGCCCGGCCCGCCACGCTCAACCCCACGACGCCCAGCACGACCCAAGCAATCGATAACTCACACACTCTCTCCCTCACCCCCTGCCCGCTCGCGCAGCGCCCGGCACCGCCAGGGCCTTGTCGCCATATTCCAAATATTTAATGCTGCCCGCACGGAGATTTCAAGGGCCCGCGCACGTGCTCGCTCACATCGCCCGTTCGACTGGCGACGAATCCGCGCACGTAAGCGTGCCATCAGCGTCACTAATGAAATACTTTTCATTGCGAATAAATTAAGAAGCATCGTCCGTGGTTTGATTGCAGCACGGACGCGTTCGTTTTCACATTACTTCGCTGCCTCTTCGTCCGCCGATTGCATCTGTGAGGCAAAGCGCAACGCGCGTGAGGACAACAACCGCCGTCGATACAAAAGGACAATGCCACCGCGCATCCGACGCGGCGCGACACAGGGCGATTAGTTCGGAAGCCGAAGATGCCTTATCGAACACCCGGGCCGGGCGGCGCGCGCCGGCGGCGGTGACCCTTCCAGTGTCACCACCACCGACAAGCGGACTGTCACTGCTGCAGCGTCGCTGACGTACCTCCTTCTTCCGTCTCTTCTTGCGGCGCGGCCCGAGGCGGGGCCGCTGCGGTGGTGCCGGTGCCGGGCGGGTGTGCTCCGTGTCGGGGGCCTTGAGCAGGGCCTTGGGCTCCACCGAGGACGGCACCGCGAGGCAGGCGTCCAGCGGCCGTCGTCCTGGGCTGGTGGGCGTCGCGAGGACGCGGCCAGCCGTGGACGGGGACGCCGGTCCGATCGGGAACGTCGTGCTGCACCTGGCCGACGACGCGCCGACGACTGCACTGCGTTTAGGTCACCGCGCCGCGCCGCACTGCCACTTCACTGATGTCTCCATCGCCGCACCCTTGCCCCGATTTGCATATATCGTCCCGCGCGCTTCGCCGCTTCGCGTCGCACTCCGTCCGCGCTCCGCGTCCGTCCGTCCGCTCGCCGGCCGCCGGTTAGGTGCACTGCGCGCCTCGCCGCTCGCCGGGAGGAGTGGTCTATGGGCGGGCGGCGGTGGTGGGGGCCGCGCGGGCTGCAGGGCGGCCTGCAGGGCGGCTGCAGGGGGAGGGGGTGCGTCCTTCGGGTGCCTCTGGTCCGCCTCCGGCGTGCGGCGGCCAAGGGGCCGGCTGGGGCCGAGGCAGCCGTCAACCTTGATGTCTGTGTTAATCATTGGGCTGCATGCTGCATGCGGCGGTGCAGGGCCCGCCAACCTGTATGGCGGACTGGTTGTGCTCCAGGTCTGGGGGTCTGCGGGTCAGGAGAAGAAGACCCCGGACCCTGCCGCCCGGTCTCCCCGCTTAGCATTTAGACACCCCGACAGCCGTCCAACGGACCACCACACCACCCCTCGGAGGCTTTTTGTTATTTTCGTATTCTTTTTTTTTTCGTTCTGCTGCCCTTACTGGTGCTGCCGCTTTTAATTATAGTCCCGCGAGACCCGCGTCGCGTAGTGCACTTTTCTGCTCACGCTCTCCTCAAATTTTTTTCTCGCACTCTCTCCTGGTCGGGGGCAAGTCCCGCACCAGGCACAGAAAATAAATGATTATTTAGCCTAATGAACTTTCACACGCACACATACACACACCGTGGTCGTCAGCCAAGTCACATGTCACTACCGGTCCGGCACACAACACGACGACAAGGACGGCATGGCCACGTCGTCTGCGGCGTCGTCTGTGACGTCAGCCATCAGGACGGTGTCTCTCGCGGCATGGTGACGTAGCGTGGCGTACCGCGTCGGGCGTACCGCGAGTGGCGTACCGCGTCCGGGCGTACCGCGTGTGGCGTACCGTGTGCGCCGCGTCCTCGCGTAAACGTGCGGTGCGTCGCCGCGTAGCGTAGCGTCGCGTCGGGTCGCGCTGCGTCGCGCCCAGCGTTGCCAACCTCAGCCTACAGAATCGCCCGCCGCACTGCCGGGCCCCGGCGGTGCGCGCCGCGACCGCCCCGGCGGGCTCCTCTCTCTCTCTCTTTCTCCCTTCTCCTCCTCTTTCTCTCCGTCTCCCACGCCCGTCCCGTCTCGCTCTCGGCCCCTCGCGCCGACCAATGGCGCGCCACTCCACTCGACGGCCCCGCGCTGCGTCCGCGGCCCTCGCCTCTCTCCCTCGCACCCGCCACCCCGGCCAACAGGAGCGACAGAGAGGGCGAGGCGGGGATTAGGAAAGCAGGGCTGCGAACTCCCACAGTAGTAGTCGCGCGCTGCCTTGACAAACGTATCGAACACGAGGGGTACGGTACCTAATGAAGGCTTTGTGTTCCTGGTGGCGGAGCGAGTATATAGCCAAGGGCGAGAAATTCGAGAGTTTGCTCATGTTGTCCTTACCCAAAAAGTTGAAGACGACAACGACAGCTCGACCCGCGTCCCCGCTCACCTGCAACGGCAGAAAACACAAATAAAAATAGCTCGCGGCGTTTATTAAAAACTCTAAAATGCTAAAATTAATCCAAGTTTGTTCTCTTCTTTTTTTCAGATCACCGTTGCCGCTACAACAACACCGTGTTCCAACTCCATCGCCACCCCCGACACGAACCACGGACGGCGGGCCCAGTTTGATCTCCCCCTCTCTCGCTCCCGTCGCTCGTCGCCCCTCTGTATCGTGCCGTCAGTACAAAGTTACCCTGCCCGCAAGACGCAAACCTTCCAATAAAGTCTTTTTCAATAATTTACCAACTTGAAATCCGAACCTGGAGTCTTCCAGATTCCCATCGCGTTGGCCGCAGCCAGACCAACCCCCGAGCGGCGACCGGGCGACCCTCCGAAAGGGTTGCATGGTAAGGAATGGCCCGGCGAGACGTCAACGACGCTTCATATTTTACAGACGCCATTTCCGACCTCATCCGGATTGGCCAGGGAGCCCGCAGGGTCCGACAGGGGCCGACAGCCCCGACAGGCTGACGGGCCGGCAGGAGGAAGCGAGGACCCCGCCGACCGCTATCGTGCCCCGAGCACGGCCAGAGGGCCAGCAGGGCCAGCAGGGCCAGCAGCCAAGTACTCGAAACAATCTCATGGGGGCGAAACGCAGCGGGTTTTAAAAACGAATCAAATCATGCCGGCCGAGCTGGCTGCGTTTCGAGAGGATGTGCGCTACAGTGGCGTCGCAGCGTCCGTCTGCTGACTTCCTCACCCGGCGACCGTGACGGTGCCCACATCCTCCTTTTGCTGGAACAAATTTCGATTTATCTGCCCCACTTGTCGTCGCCGTAATTGCCGCGGTGTAAAATGAGGGTCTAGGTGGCGGTGCAACGAAGTCCTCGCGTCATTTTTCTCCATTTGCCGAGTCGCGTCAGTGTTGCTCCCACACTGACAGCTGCCACTCGGACCAATTAGAAAGCGGCGGCCATATGCCGACCTTGCCGAGCGAGCAGCCCTATCTAGTTGGGGCGAAGATCGCTATCGTCTTGTAACAAGGTAGGAAATTGCTTCGCGAGTCGCCGGGGGTTCGACAGTCCGGTGGTGACAACGCCATAACCAGTGGCTGTTGCATTCCGGACAGGAAATCCCTTATTATTTTTCAAAAGGAGATATACTTTTATTTTTTCACCTTTAGCAGGCTTCAGTTGCCTGTAACTTTCCAAAAACCTGAAATATCTTCCAGTTAACTTTAGTGTTCCTTTTAAAATTGCCATTTACTTTTTAGAAAATTTCAATTTGTATTTCAATGAATTTAATTCACATTTTGAAAACTTAAATTTACATCTTGGAAACCCACATTTGCTGCAGCTTAGAAGAAATACAAGGAAAAATCGAACCAACTTCTAAATATTCAACTTTCTGAATTTTTTTTTGCGTTGAACAGCAAACACAAAGCCGGTCGGTGGCGGCACACACGCCAGGCGTGGTTCGTTTTTAATTAAAATTGATTCGGCGCTTAGGGCCGTCTGAGGGCGAGGGACTGAGCCAGTGGGCGGCGTCGCCCCGCGGCCCGGGGCTGGCTGGCCGGGCCCGACCCTGCGTCCCCATTGGCTGCGCCGTGCCCCGCCATACGAGGGAGCGATTATAAAGAGTGACAGTTGATTGATCTTCCCTGACGTGACGGCCGGCCTGCCTGCCTGCCTGGCGTTGCCTGGCGGCGTGCGCGACCGTCTGCCTGCTCCTCCCGTCCGCTCGCCCCGAGGCCGCCGCCGTGGCCCGCACGCACAGGTCGACATGCAGGGCCTGCAGGGCTGCCTCCGGGAGGCGCGCCGTCCCGGACGCGGCCCCCGACCGCCTGCACGCAGAGCCAAGCCGCGGTGCCTTGGCGGTGCCGCGGAGCAGTGTGTTGTTTCCCAGCCACAAATAGCCCCGCCGGGCTGTCGTGGGGCGGAAGGCGAAATCAGGAAGCACGCAAAACCAATTCCACCGCCTGTTCCAAAAGTGCAGCGAGGCCGCGCAGTACTTACAGAAGAGAGTGTATCCGTTCCGCGGGTTCGACGTCACACCTGAACTCACCTGAAACAAGCGGGAAAAAGGCAAGAGTTAAAAATCAGTTCGATGGCCCCCGCAACAGTTCGAAACAGTAGACCGGCGCTGCCGCTAGGCTGCCCAAAAGCAGACATAGACGAATAATTCGGTCGCAGGTCGCGCTGCCGCATTGGCAGTCATCCAGGCACCATTTCCGACCCCAAATTTCAATCTCGCAGGCCCGGGCCGGCACGGCCCAGCACGCCCCAGCAAGGCAAGGCCTAGCCCGGCCAAACAACCCCCGAAAATATCTCCCTCTCCCTGTTCAACCCTCTTCCCCGCCACGCCACGCCGCGCCACGCCGCGCCACGCTCCGACGCGATGGACGAATCACAGGTCCGGATATCAACCGGAAACGGGCGGAGGACGGAAGCAGGGGAGGGGCGGGGGACTCCGGGCGGCGGGGTGGGGGCGGGCGGGGCATGACAGGGAGAAAATCATCGAATTCGGAATATTTATTTAATTTTTTAGCAGCGCTGCCGCGTTTCTGCTCCTCGCTCGAAAGCAGGGCGACGCTGACGACGCCATGATGAGTGGCCGAGCCGCCGCGCCGGGCATTCCTCTCGCCTTGTCAAACACCGCGGCCAGCCAGCCACACACAAACAGTGGCGCATTAGCGTGCCAGCCTAGCGCAGCCAGACGGCGAAGCCAGCGTCATGCGGGAATCCAAAGTTGCTGTTGTGACCGCCAGCCCCGCCAGCCCCGCCAGCCCCGCTCCGCCGCTCCGCCTTCAAGGGCCTCCAGCAGCAACTCCCACCAAAGTTCCGCGCGCCAACCTATACCCCCTCGGCCGCCTTCGCTCCGCTCCCAAATTTCTGGCTGTTTCGCTGAGAGACACGGAGGCCAAAAGGGGTGGGGGAGCCTGGGGACGGGGCCGCGCCGCGCGCCTCCCCTCCGCAGCGCAAACTCGAGCTGACGTGTCCCCAGACACAAAAACACGTCACTACTTCCACCCCCTAATGAGAGAGCATCAAAAATTTAATTCCTAAAGAGCACTTCCCTTTAGCTCCATTCACCTAGGGCTTCTCTCTCTCTCCCGTTGGGCCTCACTTCAGCCCAGATTGCAGTGTTTGCGCTGCAAAAAAAATAAAAGGAAGCACCCTAACATGCGACCCTCTCCTCTGACCCCAGACACCTAACTCTATCCGCCCCTCCAAGTCCCGGCGTGCCGGCGTGCCGGTCTGGCCGGCTTGTACAAGCCGCGCTAAGCCAAGCGTTTCCTGATCCGCAAACTTTTCCTTCCCGTCTTCTATTTTTCTTGATCCTTTTAGGGCTAAACGCCGCGAGGGGCGCTGCCAGTGTGCCTGCCACCGCTCGCCGCGTAATTTATGTGCAGCCAACAACTACACTATACCGGTCGACAGAAGGTCGGCCGCCGCGAACCAATCGCTATCGGCCGATGTGCCAACACGGCGGGCACGCGCTGGCGGCCCAATCGAGACACACACATTAGCAGGAAAGGGGGCGGCAGAAAAAAAAGTTCCGAAACAATCATAATAATCCTCTGGAGCGCTGAGGCGTGGCGCAGAGCGCAACTAAAAAACACAAAGAAAGTGCGCGCGAAGGACAGCGGGGAATACGAAAAGAGGAAGGACAGCGAAGGGGCGCAAGAAGTAGGGACGTCTCCGGGCATTATTTTCTGGCTCAAGATAATTTACATGCGAAAAGATTCGGCGCCAAAAGGAGTGCGTCGGGCCGCTGGGCCTCTGGGCCGGTGGTGGTGGCGGGGGTGGGGGTGAAAGCGAGATAGCGGGGCTCGCGCGGGGCTGCAGTGCCGTCAAATGCGGCGACACATATTGCCAGTTCGGCCGGTAGGAGGCTGTTGTTGTTGTTGTTGACTCTAGTACCGTTTCGCAGCGAGGCCGCGATGTGCGCGCCGAACGCCGCCGCACTCACCTCCCCGCCGATCCCACGACGTCCCACGGCGCGCCTCTTGTCGTAATAGAAAACGGTGCAAATGAGACAGGGATTTATGGGGGCGTGCCAGGCGGAGAGACAGAGAAAACGGACATAATCGCAGTATCGGTGGGACCCATCGGCAAGCATCGCGCGCCGAGCTTCGCGCCGCCCAGTTATCTGGAGGAAGTGCGCGCCGCGGGTTCGAGCCCGCCCCGACGCAGGCAGCTTTTCAGTTAGTTTCTCCAGCGAGCGGACATTGTTTGGACGTCTCATCATGGCTGCGTCTATAATCAGCCCGCTGGACAGTGCCGAGCTGGAGTACAGCGCTCGTGGTGCCCCGAGGGCACCTTGTCGTTAATGGAGCTGAAAAATGCTGCACGGCCGGCGGAGACCATCGACGTCATGATTGCCGCGTCTTGACGGCGACTTGTCACCTGTCAAGCCAACGGGGCTGTAATACCGCGCGCACCGCCGGCGGGCGAACGGATTGGAGAGAACGCTTAAACATGCAAATGACGACGCCAGTGGAATGCTTCGAGCGCGGCACGAGCGAGGGGCGACAGTCCGCCCTGTGTTTTGCTTTGGAGAAATGTGTCCGAGAGGGGTAGCCATGGCGGTTGGTGTTGCCATGGCGTTGCCGCGTCCTCCATGCGAGAAAGGCGCCTGCTTTACGACCTCGGCCCCAATGCCGCGCTGGCTGGCCGCGCTGGCTGGCCGGGCGCCCCTCCACTCCCCTGCCTCGCTCCCCGGACGCCTGCCAATCACAGAGCCGTCAGCCGAGCCGCCATGGCGCCCAGCCCTCCGCCACCTTCCGCCGCGCAGCCAGGCAGGCAGGCAGGCAGCAGCCGCTTGACCGCCACACCTCCCCGCCAGCAGCAACTACTTCCAGAACAAGATCAACACATCACGGTGGACTGGGCGCATAAATCTGCCGGGCGGCGACTGGACTGCCGCTCGTTCGCTAATCATCATGACAATGTGTGACATTGCGCTGCACCCACGCCGCCTAGGCTTGCGTCACGACCGGCGGCTCCGTTCCCGTCTCACTCGCACTACTCGGCCGAGGCGGCGAGAGGGACAGAGCGACGAGCGGCGATTCGAACTGAGGAAAAGGCCGTAACTGTAAGTGGTTTCTATGAGAGTTAGGGTCGTCTTGGCCGCCACCGGTGTCGCCACTCCGAGTCGCCGCGCACCGCCACGACCCCCAAGCTCGAGGCCGACGGAGCCGACGCGGCGGACGGAGCCGGTAGTCTGATTCCGAAAGGGGGGCCCTCTCTCTCGGACTCGTGGGGTGCGCCGTGCGGGTGCGACAGAGACAGACAACACTCTGCTCGGCGGCAGCCTGCAGGGTGGGCACTGCCTGGCACTGGCCCGCCCCGAGGGAAGCGCCGGGACCTCATCTGGTTCCGCCCCTGCCTGCCACCCTGCCTCCCCCGCCGCGCCGCCAAGACTTGCCCGGTGTCGACGGAAGCCCTTCAAGCGGCAAGGAAAGGGGGTGGGGAGGCCGCGGGGGTGAGGGGACGTGGGGAGGGGGGAGCAATATTGATTTAGCACCGGAGTGAGGAGCATTGTGACGCGTCTAGCGGGGGTGGTGGGCGCCATTGTTTCACCGGGCGCAGCAGCAAGGCCCCGGCCTGAGCCTCCCCCCTCCCCGGCCCTTCCCCTCGCCGCCCGCCCACGTTCAAAGCCGGAGAGGAGTTAGTCGCGTCGTGAGGGACAAGGATCTCCGTGGATATTGAGTTTGGGGTTGAGAAGAGGCTGGCCGGGCTGGCCTCGCACAAAGCCGGCCGAGCCTTCTTCTCCTCGGCCTGCAGGCCGGCACGCTGGAGGGCGACAAACTTATATCGCTATAAAGAGGTTGCGAAGTTGAGCGTGTACCGCGCCGCTGCAGCGAGGCACAGCGAGGCGCTGTCCGGTCAGGCGCGTTCGTTGGACCTTACAGTGGCGGGCCGGGCCGCCAAATTGGGGGTGGGGTGGGGGGAGCGGGCCCTGCTCTCCTCCGTGCATTAGGCTGATGGGGAAAACTTTTCGCGCCTGTCCCGCGCCCCGCCGGGAGGGACGCGCGTGTGTGTAAGTGTGAGTGCGAACGTACAAGCAGGACTGCCCTCCAGACACCCCCACCACTGCCGCTTCACCCCAGCCAGGGGCCGGGGGGTTCATTTACATGCAGACGCGTTACGAATTCGAGTCATGGATAGATCTCTTAATTCAGGGGCCAAATCCTCGGCCCCGCCCGCCGCGCCGCACTGGAGGAGGGCGTACGAGCAGAAGCTGCTGCTGCGGCGGCCAAGGCGGCGGCCTCGAGACCCCCGGGCCGTCCCTCTCCGATTCGTCGGTCGCAAACAAACCCGCGCCGCCGACGGCTTCACTCGGCAGGAAAGTTGGGCTGCGTTTTCAGGGCTTTCGGATCGCCGCGCCGACCGGGCGTAGCGTAACTCTCCGCGGCTGCTGTTTGTGTGTGTTCCACAGTGTTCCACCGCGTTCCACCCTTTGACCCTCGCCCCGTCCGAGCCCTCAATCTGGAGAAAGGCCCCCTGGGGCCGCACCGCACGCCTCACCGGCACACTGGGGCTTTGTGGCGGCGGCTGCTGCCGATGGAAAAGCAAGGGGGATTCGGATTCGGATACTGTACACAAGGTGCCGGCGATCAACCGCGTGATCCCGCCAAAACGGCAGTGCCGCCTGGGCGTCGAACCAGCGACCTCGGGGCGCGCGCCGTGCTCCGCGCTCTGTTCGTCGTTATCACTCCCTAAAGCGCCTCCGCCTGCTCCTTCAAGCGTTGCGACAGAAATGGCCGGCGGGGTGCGCGCCCAGCCCAGCCCCAGCCCATAGGCAGCCCACTGCGACCGGCCAGGCCCTGCGCCCTCTGCGGCCTGCGGTCGCGGCGCCGCTTTTCAAGGTCATGAATTACCGCGCGGCCCTTGCAGTGCAGCAGCCAGCCGGCCCGATAACGCCGTATCCCGCGCGGCCCGACCGCGGAGTTACGTCGTTGTTCCGCGTGGCGTGACGCGGCGCCCGCAATAGCAGTGGCGCTGCAAAAATAGAAGTGGTTGACACTTCCTGTAATGGTGATTAGCGCTGTATGCCGC